AATATCAAAGTTCATNTGGGGGCTCACATCGCTGGGAGGCCGTACAGTTGTCGGGAATAGCACAAAAAATTCTCTCGTTCGTCAACATTAAAGGATCATAGGAATACTCATACCGGTAAGAAGCCGCATAGTTGTCTCATATGCAACGAAAGTTTCGCCCATTCATCAACTTTGAGAAATCATATAGGAATTCATAACGGTGTAAAGCTACATAATTGTCGGGAATGCGAGAAAAGTTTCAGACTAAAACAACATTTGAAAAAGCATATGGAAATTCACAACAAAATTAGGCAGCTTTTCAACTGCACTGTCTGCAGTAAAGGTTTCCTGAGTAAATGGAGTTTGAAAATACACAAGAAGAAACATGGAAGAAGGTGAAGGGCACATTTTAAACTGAAATGAGCTTTGTTTTGTTGATTGTAATTTATATTTCTGTAGTTAGCCCTTATTTTAATAATGACATTCTTGCTGTTATTACTTATCGCTTGCTTATAAGTTATTCATTTTTTATCTCATATGCATAATAGTATCGTTCTTTTCCCATCCCTTTGCTATTTCTTTCATTTTAGTGAATAAAATTATCAGTTCTTTGTTTACTTGCAGACCTGCTAAATTACTTTTTCGTTATTTGCGCATGCGCGTAAGAGGTAACTGGCATGCTATATGTAAATAAGCATAACTGTTAGTTATAGTCTCATGTCATTTCATAGGGTCACGCATTGTCAATTTCCATGCAATGTTCCATCGACAATAAGACTTGAATTGAACGACAAACACTTCATTTGATGATGAGCATTTCAATTTAGATAGATGAGGATTAAAAAGGGAAAATAACAAAACATTCAAAACTGGTCAACTATTTCTTTTTATTTTCTGCTGGTGGGATAATCTTCTTCAAAAATTTCAATTGAGAAAATAAATTGTATGATATATTTGACGAATTTACATAAACATATATGGATATTTTATCATATATGGATCATATACAAGCATTATGAACATTATTAAACATTAAACATTAAACATTAGACATTAAACATATAAACATTAAACATTAAATATTAAACATTAAAATATAAACATCAAACATTATCATATATAAATAATATATATAAACATTATCATGTAATTATCATGTATAAACATATATTTATTTTTATCTTTTTTTTATATATTTTTACGACAAAAGCTATTTGCTTCTATTAAGGTATTCTAATATTTTATAATGCCATCGACATGCAATGTTCCTTCGACAATAAGACTTGAATTGAGCGATATACACTTCAATTGACGATGAGCATTTCAATTTAGATAGGCGAGAATTAGAAAAGGAAAGTAACAAAATATTCAAAACAAATAACTAAACAAGTAACTGGTATGGTATATATACATAATAAGTAACTGGCATAGTATATGGAAATAAGCATAACCTGCTAATTGTAATCTCATGTCATTTCATAGGGTCACCCGTTATCAATCTCCATGCAATGTTCCATTGATGATAAACACTTCAATTGAGCTATTTGAAGCAACGTTTCATTCAGATGGGATATTTGATAATCCAGTCCAGCTGCCAAGTTATACCAATTAGTGCACGGACGGTTAATTAACATTCAATGTAAGCTTAAAGTCTGCAAGAGATTTGAGGGATCTTACGTAAAAGATATGTAAAAAGCATGACCTAAAAGAAGACGATATTGAGAGTGATATGGCCACAAAAAACATCTACAGAAGAAAAATACCGATAAGAAAGTGTACGATTGCTCAGAACATGAGGGAAATTTCACTGAATTATCGATACTGATGAGAAGCTGATGTGCTGCAGAATATGCGGGAAATGTTTTACTCAAAGACACAATTGAAAGATCTCACGCAGACTCTTAGCAATGAGAAGCATTTTTTCTACTGTACTGCATGCGACAAAAGTTTCGCAGGTATGTCCACTTTGAAATCACGCATGAATAAGTTTCATGCTAAAAAACGAAACACCTAAGCGCATTTTGCAATGAAATACGTTCTGTCAATTCTGATGTGGCTGATTGTTGATGTATTTCATCAACTGAATTCTTACAACTCAATTTTTCGTTCTTAGTTTTCATCATCTTCTTATTGATCTATTATTGTTATTACTGCTATTTCTTATAAATTAATTGCATTAAAAATAATAATAATAATAATAATAATAATAATAATAATAATAATAATAATAATAATAATAATAATAATAATAATAATAATAATAATAATAATAATAATAATAATAATAATAATAATAATAATAATAATAATAATAATAATAATAATAATAATAATAATAATAATAATAATAA